GTTGACAATCACAGTGTGTTGTTTCAATAAAGATTTTTTTAAATTATCATCAGAGTATGGGAAGTATCAAACTGAGTTAGAAATGTTAATATCGTGACACTATTTTATTGCTAAGGGACAAATTTGCTAAATAAAAAACACCAGGATCACGTAGGGCAGGTTAATATGAACATTTTAAGACCAAAATGACAGGACTCACAGCAGCAGGTACAGAGAGAGGGGCAAAGATTTTTCAGTATAAATCAGTTGCAACCAGAGCTCGAAGGAACTACTTTGTGTGTCCATGCTTATTTCCTACTGGAGCACATTAGCTATGTCCATTTATATATACAGTCTATGGTTAATATTGATGTCAGATGATTTCCAAAGTCCTTTTCAAAGGTTTTTGTGGCTTTTGAACATGATTTGGACACATGGACTGTACACAGACTTCACCTGTAGCGTTCAGCTCCTGTTACGAGTTATAGCGGCTAATCCACAAACAGGGACCATATTTGGAAATCCAGGTGCAAGCGACTAGCCAATCAGGAGCAAGGTTGTAGAAGGCATCTAATTGGTCTGTTATGAATGTTCATGTCTTGATGTAGGGACAAAATAGTGAAATAAAAACCCCTGGATCATGACCTCTGTGAATTTGGCCCCCCATTAAACACAACCCTACACAAAAACTATGTCAATCATTTGTGCTTCGTTTGTGCTGTTTTGTGCTGCAAAAAGGTTTGTTTGTGCTGTTTTAGTTTTGGAGATAGTAATGATTCTTTTAAAGGTCAAATTGGGGTAAGCCAGCCCCCAGGAAGCTTCAGAATGCTCCAAAACGCCACAAAATGGTGTCAGTCGTTTGTGCTTCGTTTGTGCTGTTTTGTGCTGCAAAAAGTTTTGTTTGTGTGATTCTGGTTCTTAAGATATCAGCAGTTTTATTTTGGGCCGAGGACGTCATTATTATTTTTGCGGATATTATATGACGTCACTTCCGTTCAGCTGACCGCAGTGACTTTTGCAAAACTGCACAAAACTAGTGAACTAGTAAAGTCGCTGCCGTCAGCTGAACAGAAATGACATAATAAATTATAATTATATATATGAATTAGAAAAGCACTCAGAGAGCACAGACCTCCGCCAAGGACTACCCCCATTTTTTATATAAATTGCGATAAAATCAGTCTTCTGGATCAGATCCGGATCAGCCTTTGGAATATGAGAGAGGATCCCATTGTTCATCCCTGAGTCAAATTTCATGGGGTTTGGTCAATAATTAACCGAGATATTGAGAAACAAATTTTTTGGCCCCATTTACCACAATGTTAACTAAAATTTCAAAGTGATCCAGAATCCAGGATTTCTTCCGGATCACCCCCAAAATGAAATTTCATCAAAATCGGTCCATAACTTTTTGAGTTATGTTGCTAACAGACAAACAAACAAACAAACAAACAGACAAACAGACAAAAAACGGCAAAAACATAACCTCCTTGGCGGAGGTAAAAATAATAATTAATCATTTTAGAAATATACTCAATACACAAGCAACCACAGCACAAACAAAACACAAACGAAACACAAATGTTTTGTATAATTTTCTGCTTGTTTTGAGGCTATTAAACAATTTGAGGGGCTGGATAACGTCATCACCCAAAAATAAAACTGCTAATATCTTTAGAACCATAATCGCACAAACAAAACCTGTTGCCGCACAAAACGGCACAGATGAAGCACAAATGAGTTTTTGTGTAGGTTTGCGTTTGATGGGGGGCCAACTTCACAGAGGTTGGATCATGTAGAGTGACTGAGTGAGTGACAGGTGGATTTAACCAATTGCAGTGAAGTATACACTCAGAAGAAGTGGATAGTTTTGTGACCAAAACCAAAAAGGAATAGATTAGTGTCCACAGGTTCTTATTCTGTGTAAAAGCTGCTAACCCTGTAGTTTGGATCTCTACAAACATGTTCTGAAATGTCCCTGTGTGTCAGGTGCCCTCCCCGTGTGTCAGATGTCCTCCCCATGTGTCAGATGCCCTCCCCGTGTGTCAGATGTCAGATGCCCTCCCCGTGTGTCAGATGCCCTCCCCGTGTGTCCCCGTGTGTCAAATGTCCTCCCTGTGTGTCAGATGCCCTCCCTGTGTCTCCATAGGGTCTTATTGTGTGTAAAAGCTGCCAACAATGTAGTGTAGAATTTGCATTGTGAGCTGAATTGTGATTGCAAAACAGAAGTTGCTCATATATTTCCTGTGTTACAAAAGCGTAGGGCCTTTACATAGCTGTACAGGATCAGCAGTTCTCTCTCAGTAGCAGAGTTGGTTACATAAGTGTGATGGCGCCGTGTACATTATGTCCTCCTACATGGCTCTAAATAAAGACCAGGAGCTTTTATCAGAAGAACACTGCAGGTTTTACAGTGACATCCGCACTTTTTACACCCATGACAATCTGTACACACAGTTTTCCTTCTATTACGTTTCTTTGTAACTAACTTCATGTTCAACAGTGTTTTGATATTTAAAGGTCATATATTACACAAAATGAACTATTTGTGTGTTTTTAGTCGTATCCAGAGTTGTGTTTTGTTTCATTCACACATGTTTGAGTAAACCTTTATTATTAGTCTGTCTCCAAAGCTCAAAATGCTGCTCCACCTTGTGATGTCCTGACCTTTTACACTTAGTTCAGTAGAGACTGGCAATTCCAGGACTAAAATTATCCAAATCATTATACTGAAGGTATCAGAGGTGAAACAGTGTTTAGTTTGAAAGAAGAATTAAATATGCAGAGTTTGTGTGTTAAACATGTGTGAATGAAACAAAACACAACTCCAGGTCAGGCTCAGAAAATAGTCTAATATGCTGTGGCTCCTTAAAGTGTGTATTTTTTTCATGTTTTTTCTGACTTGGTTTGGTGGGATGGTAATTGTAAATATTTATCATAGTTTTACATCAGTGAAGTGGCAGTTTGTGGGAAAAAGCTGTGAAGAAAAGTACAAAAATGCAGGAAGTAGCGCTGAGTTCTAAAAAAATATCTCAGGGGATTGAAAAACACGGTGGATTTCTGCAGAATCAATGAGTGACGCATTAAACTGAGAGGACAGTAATGTCATTTTCTTCTCAATTAAAAGTCACCAATGAGCTCCTTTGTTTAAAATGTGTCACTGAAAGAAACTAACCTGATTGGGCCATTCTCTGATCTCCTTTTATATAAATAAAAAATACCAGAGAGAGATACCTGTCTGGATTTAACTGGCAAATATACTAATAATAATTTTGTCATGTAAATAAATATTTCAGATGCTCAAATTTGTTTTACAATTTACAAAGATTACACAATAGACACAATAGAAAGCACGTTTTCTCATTAGCTTGGTAAACGATGGGACAAGATCTTGCAAAACAAAATTACCACGAGAGTGTGCACACATGAACAAAATGACTTGGTGACATTTAAAATCTGACTTCCTAGTTGTACACTGGCCCAATTATGTCTACATTACACAATAATAATGATAAGACTAATAAAAATAAATGAAAATAGCTTTATTTTGTTGTCAGAAAAATGTCTTCCTTATTTTTTTATTTTTGTTTTCCTTTTCTGTTTTAGGACTCTTTAGAAATCTGCTACTTCCTGTATTTTTGTACTTTTCTTCTCAACTTTTTTACCACAAAATGACACTCAACTGATAAAACTATAAAAACTTGGATAAATACTTAAGACTGTCCCCTCTCGTCTCCAGTGCTCCATGCCCTCCTGTATTGTTGCCTTCCATGTGACCTGCGCCTTCGATCACGGTCTGGAGATGAAAACCATTTTGGCCGAAAATGATGAGGTCCGCTTCAAGTCCTTCTGCCTGGAGCACAGCAGCACCCATGGGACCATGGCGGGACAGACGAGTGCCCAGGGGTCCCACCCTACCCAGTCCAACCAGCCCGTGTCTCCCTCTGGACTGTCAAACCCACCTGTGTCTGCTGTGGGACCATCCAGCACCCATCAGTCTGTCCCGGGAGACACCAGCACCCATGGGTCCAGCTCGGGAGAAGCCTTCAGCCACGGGAGCTCTTTGGGACAGTCCACCACCCACACGCCTCCTGCCGTCAACGGGACGCACTCTGATGTAAGGCTGCGAATTACTGTCTTAGCATTATACACCAAGGGATTGTAAAGACGCTGTACCTGACTTTTACACTCTTAAAACATGAAACTCGATCATCTGAAACTGTTTGCAGTGCTACAAAGTTTCTCCTCACTTACCTTCTGCATTCAGAGCATCTTCATTACTCACCATGATGAGTTTAGAAGTGCTTTTCCCAATTTTTAGAGACCTTTTGCTGTCATGGTAAAGCTAACAACAACTATGAGTGAAAAATCCTCAGTTGTCCAGGTAGAATCCAGGGCAAAGGAGAAATTCAATTTGTCAACTGGACAAAAGTTTATTTGGTCAAATAAGCAGCTTGGATGAGCCGCGGAACGTATTTAACCAAATAAACAAATTGAATTTCTCCTTGCTAACATGCACTTACAGTTTACCAGACAATAAAATGCTTCATAATTCGATGCAGACAGAACACAGAGGACTTATTTTGACCTCAAGAGCTGCTTATAACATATATCTGTACTGGAACATAAACATGAACAGCCTGATTAACTTTTAAATTGTCTGAAAACTCTAGAAAAAATACAAAATGGATGTAAACAACACATTTTCAGGATCCTGTGATCAGTCTGAGTGTTCATGTTCTATTTAGGAGTTTTTCAACAAAAAAGCTGAGAGTGGCTAACTTAAAAACAGTGGACTGAAATGTTATTTGACAAGTTGTTTAACAGCACACACCAGCTCTCCTGTTCCAGCTAAATCAGTTTTTTTAAAGGTCAGATTGTGTTCAAACAAAACAAAACTCAGATTAAAGTCTAACTTAAGTAATAAATAGTACGGTGGCCGACGGGGGCCAAATGCACTGCAACTGCCCAATGCCTCTCAGTCGGAGAAAACAGCTTCAAGTACAGAAACGATGCAGATTCACAAACTCAAACACAAGTTTTCAGTGAGGTACAAACACTGCAAAAAACAAAGACAAATGTGTCCTCATCAAATGCAGCGCAAATAGAGAAACGATGCAAAGCACAAAATGATAAAAATATTTTATATATTTTTATCATTTATCACAAAAACACCTGCAAATGAAGAACACTGCATAAAGAAACACCATAACCTGCACCTTCATATACTGTGTGTATAAATAATATCTATGTCGCTATATGATGATGTCTCTATTTGCGGCACATTTGATAATGATACTTTTGTCTTTGTTTCTTGCAGAGTGTTTTTTGTTTTTGTTTTTTTCATTTGCACCATGTTCTTTGTACCTCGTATATACTTGTTTGGGAATTTGAATCGTTTCTGTGCTTGAAGCTGTTGGGCCATTGCAGTGCATTTGGCCCCCGTCAGCAGTGTTGGGGAGTAACAGATTACATGTACCGGAGTTACGTAATCAGAGTACAAATTATGAGTAACTGTATTCAGTTACAGTTACTGTTTCAGTGAGTGGTAATTGGATTACAGTTACTGTGTTGAAATAAATGGATTACACAGCGGTATTTTCCTGTTTTCACATTTTGGGCAAAACCAGGACTAAAACCAGAACTAAAACCAGGACTAAACTAGAACTAAAACCAGGACTAAAACCAGGACTAAACCTTCCCAACACTGCCCGTCAGCCACCGTAGAATAGAGCTTCATACAGAGCAGTGCCTGTAGTTAGCTTTACTCAGGGAATATTGATCAACATTTATGGTCCATACACATTGTTTCCCTCACAGACATATTCTTGTGCATCAAACGGGCTGCAGCCTCCCAGCGCTCCGGCCCTCCTGTCCAGCGGGGGCAGCAGTGAGCCGGAGCAGCGCGTGCTGGAGCGGGTGGACAGGGAGCAGATGGAGAGGGAGAAGGTGAGCCAGAGGAAGCAGAAGTTACAGCAGCTGGAGGATGAGTTCTACCGCCTGGTGTGCCCCGAGGACGTGTGCCAGAGCCTGGGCCTGCCCCTCACTCAGGTACCACACTGACAGATGGCATGTGTGCGCACGTAAACTAGTGATGGTGAGATGAAGCCCCATGAAGCACTGAAGCGTTCCAGCCATTTGCTCCACTCTTGAGCCGATGCTTCAAGGTGCTTCATTTGCTCCACTGCGCCATCAAGTGTCCAAAAACATTTAACAGGCAGAGTGAAAATAGAACAATCAACATGATCATTGAGGTTCTGATGGAAAGATTTATACTGAATATGAACGATGAAATATATGAATGTTTGTGATTTCAACATAAAGTGTGAATGTATTAACCTGGAGTCTGTGTTCATGATATAAAGGTCGGGTTAAAAGAAAAAGTAGGAACAAATTGAAGCTCAGGATGTAATGTGACTGTGTTTGTGTTACTACTTTACATCTGTGCTTATGCCACAATAAGGACGGCAAGATAGGGTCATCTTATTCATTTTTATTTAAAAATATCAATGTCTCCACAGTATTTGGACTCAGGCGGTTTCTTTTTTATGGAGAATTTCCCCTGCTTTAAAAAAAAAAGTTAAATAAATAAAAATCTCAAATAGAATGTACCAAACTTCCAATAACCCAAAACCACAAAATGTTTTGGGGGAATCCGTTGCGTTTCACTTGGCGCTGTTTCAAATCGCACCAAATCTGCGAACCACTTCCTGAAGCGTTCACGTGGTAGAGCCAGGCAGCGAGGCTTCGGATGTCGTCATTTTTGGCTCCTCCCCCAAATGAAACAAGCCTCGATACACACTTCGCGGAAACACCCCCCTTCATTACTCGACACAGGCTTCGAAGCATCGGCACATCTTGTAACATCACTAACTTAAAGTACACTCTGGAACTTTTCTGCTGGAGTATATGCCACCTGCTTATCTCCATTCTCACGGTTTGCTCACCACGGCAAAGAGGAATACATTAGACAGTATTTTTGATCAGGTTCATAAATTGAGCAAACAAATAATCAAATGAAAACAGCTAAGGAAAAGAAATTATAATAATTCTGTTTCTTTTGACAAATCTGAATCAAAACCACTACATTTGAAGCTTTAAGAAAGAAGAAAAAAAGCGGTTGTGGAGTGTGAGTATAAAAGTTTGTTAACCCTATAATAACAACAACCACAAACGCATGAGAAGACCCTTGACGACCCAAATACAGTGATCTATTATTCTCACAGCAATTTATCACAGGTCATTTATATTCCAACTTCAATCTTCAGAACACACAAGAAATATACCCGAGGAGAATATGGACCTGAACGAAGGCCGGGTCAGCCATCTTTAGCCTCGCTGCGCTGTTTTCCATCATATATTGTTATTTGTAGCATTCTGTTTGGAGAATTTGATGATTCATAATGAGAACAGAGATGGTATTGTCACTAGGGATGGGCATTCGAGGAAATGTTCTTAATCGATCGTGGGAAGAATTAACGATCGATTATCGATTAATCATTAACGTTTTTATATTAAAAT